GTGTGTGTGTGTGTGTGTGTGTGTGTGTGTGTGTGTGTGTGTGTGTACCAATAATGCTCGTGTTCTGTGTATGTACATGTATATAGATGTATGTGAATGTCTGAATGAATGTGTGTTTATTTAGATTGTGTTTAGATTAGAAGCTTTTGGTGCCATACTGAAGTCACTTTGTACTCAGTGATGATAAATGATTCTGTTATGTGCTAAAGGGCCTCTGAAATTCCACTCTGGGCGTCTTATGCATGACATGTTCCAGTGTGAGCAGTGAGTGTAGATGGATTTTTGTGCACTGGAAAAATAGGTACAGATTCATGTGTTAACAGTTGAGGCCAGCCATGTACCTGGATATGTAGCTAACAGAAAAGTTTAACTTATTAAGAGTTTCACAGGCGACAGAAAGGCTTTTAAGGCTCTAAAACACACGTGGAATACACATAAAGTGTGCATTGTGGATATATTTGAAATATTACTTCAGATAATAACAAGATGTTTACAAAGTTGTTAAAACTATTTTGCGTTGTATTTTATGGAAATGTATTTTTAGATAAAATAACAGCAATAATGATACTAATTGGAAGTATATTATTCAGTCGGTGGGATTCAGTGACTGAGTTTACTGTACAATCTCAGCGTATGTTCCAACAGTTTCAGTTGCTCTCTGTAAGTAGACCGCGCTTCCTGCAATACACACAGTGCCAAATTCAATTCCTTATGTATTTACTGTGAGTGAGGAGTAGGTGAGGAACTTCAGCAGAAATGCAATAATGTAAAAAGTCACTCCACACGGATTTACTTTGCAAATTATGTTTACTCAGTATGTGAGAACACATTCCAGTGAAGAAATTTATTACTGCTTGGAATATTAAATTGTGACAACTTGATTTTATGTGACATCATGAAACATTTCATCTAAATGATGTTATGTTGCAGGTCATTCTGTATTGCAGTGATGTAAATGCGCCTGGAGTTTCAAAAAATGGGTGTACATGTTTGTCAATGTGATTAATGCTCATGGAAATATTTGTTTCTAGGTACATATCTTATTTATTAGCTGCTGGGTGATTTGTTTTTTTTTTTGTTGTTGTTTTTTTTTTGTGGGGTGGCTAAATAAAATGATAGCTATGCAGTATGCATCAGCTGTGAGCATTGATAAAAATGTATACCTATTTTTAAAACGTGTACCACATTAGTGCTGTAAGATGTATTCATGGGATACACCCACTGAGACTGAGTTCATGTTTCATGGTTATCCTTTATGTTCGTACATATTTTTTGTTTTAATGTAGATCTTTTTCTTCCATACTGTCATACTTGCAATGCTGTTGAAGAACCTGAATAAAAATTAATATATGTCACCACTGTGTCCAATCACATTTTAATATAACTGAATTAAAATGCAAAAATACATGTATTACTAATAAGTAGACTATTTAAAGTTGTTTTTGTTTTTTTGTTTTTTTAAGGTTCCTGTTAAGAGTCTTAGCTTTTTTTTGGCGTCCTTTGTCTCAAAATAAAATAAAAATAGAACAAATAGGGGACTAAATAAAACTAAATGTTTAGAAGTAGACAAAAAAATAAAGAAACAAATAAATGCATATATTACACTGAAGAGTATCCCCAGGTTGCAATTTAACTGAAGCTAAAACTGAACAGGAAGTAAAATTACACACACTGGCAACTTTATTAGGTATACAGTTTCATCTGCCTGATACTAATTATTGAATTAACCAGTCACATAGCAGCAACTGTACGCATTTAGACATGCAGACATGGTCAACACAATCTGCTTAAGTTTAAAGCGAGCATCAGAATGGGGAAGAAAGGTGACTGTGGACTTTTCACATCCGCTCCAGCTGTTCTTGCACCTGGTACTTCTCTACTTTCTCGTTCTCATTCATTCTTTTTGATATCATATATCAGAATGTATATATTAATTCTAAAAAAGCATTTTAATCGTTACTTCCGTAGTTATCATAAAAAATAAATAACGTGCAGCGCTCGAGAGAGCGGGGAGGATTCAGGTGAAGGACTACAATCCGCTGCCGTCGCACTAATGTGACGACATCAACGCTCGACTCGCGCAGGACGGATACAGCTTTTGTTGTAGAACAAACGAGAGCTTGTGATGCTCAGCGGTATGTTACCAGCTGTTTTGTACAAATATTAGTAAATACGCTGTTATCCACAGCGAAGCCGGTTATTTGTGGCGACACCGTCGCTGCGGTTGAACCGCAGACTGTTTAATGACAGAGACCTGTGATGGCAAGTTAGCCGAACTCCTTCATGTCAGTCAGCCAGCTTCACACTTTAGTGAATTTTAAAACTTCAGATGTTCATTTACGTCGTGCGGCGTTTGGAAACACTGAGGTGAAGACCTTCGTTTCCTGTGCTGACCGAAAGTTTCTGTTTTACGTTTTCTCACACTTTAGCCTGTGATTAAAAGAAAGGAAAACCCTGGTCGAAGTTGAGCAGTATCGTGACTTGCCTGCAAGCCCTGCTCTGCCTCCAAGAACACAACTTAATCACTTTTAACTGTGTGACAGCTATCTGGCATTCACTTCCGCCCACTGCTACATAATTCCTATAACCTTAGAGCAACACTCAAGTTTTCTTTCCTTGGTAACAGTAAACAGACACTAATTTTATTAACAAGCTGCATGAGCTTAATAAAAGAGTGGTCACATAGATCAGAGTTGGCTGTTGTTGTCCAATCTTTTACAGTTATGGAAGATATGTTTTTCTCCATCCTGTTGCTCAAGATATCATGTTTTTTTTCTCAGTGCTCATAATTTTATAAACTGCACTGAATAAGCTCTGAGGGTTTCTCACTGTAAATAGTAATTGCACCTCTGTCGTGCCAAGCCTCCCTCCAGCCCCAAGCAGGCTGAATAGAAGGACTGACAGGAAAAATAAAAGCAGGAGAGCTTTAATATAGGTTTCTGCAGATAGTTAGCTGTTACTGTCTGTGTGTTGAGTTTTTGTTTACTTGTACTGCTTTGTTAACACACATCAAAATTGGATCATGAAATTGTTTTCCTGTTTGAAAGTCGTTTCATTGTGGAATGTGGGCATGTGTAGAGTTCATTGGAGTTAAATGCAGCTGTAGCCTGCAGTCACCATGATGGTGTATTCACATCATGGTTTATGCACAGACAGAAATGAGTTAGATTTTTTCCTCAGATTCTCAGTCAGTGTGGGTTAGTTTTTTTTCTGTTTCCTCTGTTTCAGCTATCTTATACTCAACTTTGATGTCCTTGGTGTAACATGGACCCAGATGGGGACCTAAACCCTGACACGGATGACCTTCCACTTCGAGCGAATACTAACCACATACTGGTCAGGCATTATGTCCTGGACCTTACTGTTCACTTTGACAGTAAGGTCATCAGTGGTAGTATTGTTCTGTTCCTGGAGCCTCGTTCGGGAGTGAGGACTGAGGCTGGAGGAAGTCAGGATGGTTTTACATCCAAATACAAGGAGGTGGATGCTCTGGAGGATGGTAAAAAAGAGCTTGAAACGACTACAACAAAGGTGGAGAAGATGTGTGGTGATGCAGAAAGTATTCAGTCTTCAAGTCTGTGGCACACTACAAGTGGTGGTGAGTTCACCTTAGTGTTGGACTGCTGTGATCTTGACGTGTCAAAGGTCGAAGAGGTGGACGTCACCTCTGTGGCAGCCATGTTAAGCCGCTTTCCAGAGGTAACATCTAAAATGTCAGGGGATGTTTCAAGGAAGCCACAGGCAGCTTTTATTCAGAACCTCATCTCCATGCCCTCCAGCCAGTGGAGGCAGCAGCATCAGCTCTTTTCACTGTGTGGCCGTGCCCCCGGTGCTCAGGATGGAAGCACACTGCAGTTCCATAGAGACCGATGGAGTCTACAGGTGAGGAAAAATGGAGTCACATCACCTCAGGAGTTTCCTTGTGCTCTCAGGATCTGTTATGAGACGAAACCAGCAGGAGGTTCAGTGCGGTGGACCAAAGATCAGGACAACAGGTTTGTTTCAGGATGCAAATCATCTGAATTATTCCATTAAAGATTGGCACATTATTTAAAAAAAAGCAACAACTGGCAACTGGCATAAAATCTGCTCTGTTCAAAGTTACTGTGTAAGATACCGAGTGTGCTATGTCAGAATAATATAATACAGATTAATTCATTCACAAAAACACACCTCGGGCTATTTTATTCTCTCCTGTGTGGGGTATGCCTTACTTATGTCTGTGTTTCTATGTGCATTTGGGCATTGAAGTGAGGGTTGTTTATAGTTTACCATTGTTTACCCTTCCAGGGTGTGTGTTTACACTGCCGGTTCTCCCATCAACAACCGAGCCCTCTTCCCCTGCCAGGAGCCGCCTGTTGCCATGTCAACATGGCAGGCAACAGTACGGGCCCCCAGTGAGTGCGTGGTTTTGATGAGTGGGGAGGAGCAGGCAGTACCTGCTGAAGATGGGGACACACGTAAGCTTTTCAAAAACCTCAATTGTATATGTATTTCTTTGTTTTATATATATATGTGTGTGTGTGTGTACATTTGTAAACTTTTGAATATTACACAA